AATCATTATTGTAGCAGAAAAGCCTGTCTGATTTCTTCATGAACTAATGCGTTCCACTCTATTTCTTTAAATCATATTCACTCATTATGTCATGGATGACATTTTCTCCAAAATACATCTCTCACCACTATCCCTCATCGTGCGTTTAGATAAAGTGAGATACTCCTTATTAGTGATATGGTCCCACGGTGAATTTCACCTCTTGTAATATTTTCTCTTTTCAAGATATTATTTATTTGAGGGGTAGAGTTACACAGAGAGAGAGACAGAGACAGAGACGAAAGTCTTCTATCCACTAGTTCACTCCTCAAATGGCCACAAAGACTGGAGCTGGGCCGATCCGAAGCCAGGAGCCTAGAGTTTCCTTCAGGTCTCCCTAGAGCGGCCCAAGCACCTGGGACATCGTTTACTGCTTTCCCAGTCCATAAGCAGATATCTGGATAGGATGAAGTGGCACCCAGGGTGTGAACTGGTGACCATATGCCCGACTCCCCCCCCAAAGCCCCAGATCCCCGGTGCGGTCCGCGTGCGGCAGCGTTGTCCGGAGCTAGGTAGCTCCGAGGCCGCGCGCCGCTGCTCCTCCCCCTCCCGCCCCCGCCCGCGCCCCCCTCCCCGGACGGGGCGCGCGGCCGCTCGCCTGGCAGCGCAAACTTGGAGCAGCCTCTCGGGCCCTGCGGGAAGAAACTTGGGGCCGTCGGGACGGCAGGCAGCATCCCGTTCTCGGTCCTGGAGCCCGGCAGCTGCCGGGGCGTCTGGATCCTCGGGGGCGGGGGAAACAGCGCCGGCCGGGTCGCCGGAGTTCTCCCGGGGGCACGGAGGGAACCTGCCGCAGTGCCTGGAGCGGGGATTGCGGCGTGGCTGGAGGCGGAGAGCGCCTGGGGCGGCAGCCTGCAGCCGGAGGGACCCGAGCCGTGTGCGGACAGAGGGGCTGGCCCACGGGCCCTACCTGACATTTCAGAGTGGCTTTCTCGGAGGTGGCAGATAAGACCTGGACTCGTCATATTCATTTCTTTGGTAGATGCTTTAAATTTTACGGCACCGTGCAGTGCTACCAGATGAAGAACGGGAATGGGACTTATTTTTCAAAGATTAAATGGAAATTGCTCACCTTATTGCGTTTCATGAAAATAAACATTTCACTGGATCACTGGATTTTTTTTACTAACTCAGTTTATTTTCCCATTAGTATCGCCTGAGACACTTGAAATATATTGATTATATTCTCAAAAGAGTCGGGTGTAATGGGGAAAAGTATGGAGTGGAATTCTGACTTCACTTCGGTTTGGTAGCTCTAATTATTAAGCAAAATCCGGTGAGAAATGGGCCAGTTGTTCATTATAGGTTTTTTCTCCCGCAGCAATTTTGTGCTGTCCTTTTGTAAGCGCTTGTATGTTTGAATTTGAGAAGCATTTTTATAAGAAATCCATCTGGATAGTAATCTGTCTCACCATCGGGAAGGCTTGTTTTTAGAGAAAAAACGATCTGCTAGCATCCACATCTCTAAAATTTTGCAAGTTGTTAGTATTGTTTAAAGAGTCCACGAATGGTTTCTTTGGCTTGGAGTTGGAGCATGAGGTATGTTATTTGACCTTAGTCAGCTGTTTAGTAGAGACCTGAAATAAGACATTTGATGGATTTAAGCTCCCTAGAAAAACTGATTTCCCAGTTTCCACCGTCAGTGGGACTTGCTGTAAAACTTGGGAGAGAAAAGCCAAATGCACTTACTATTGGTGAGTTCAGTAGGAGCCGCACTGTAAGGAATACTTGGCTTGCATGCAGGGGAATGCAAATCTCAACGTGAGAATAACAAAGAAAAGTGGCTGCTCAGACCACAAAACCTTGTCAGATATAAAACAACTTGCTCTGGGGAAAGCTAGTGTTTTCTTCCGCTGCAGAGTCACTAAATGAAAAGCTGAGGCTTATGGGCATGGTGAAGCTTTTTTGTTACTGTTACCTGTATTTATGTCTACACACAGATGCTTAAATCTCTGATCATGGAAACTCGAGCTGAACAGTGCAGGTTAGCAGAGTAGGAGAAATAATGGGGAAGAGATGGTGAGTGGACTCTTGACTACCTTAGAAACACTTGTGCCCAGTGGGATATAGGCATTCTAGAGTGGCTTGTGAAAATTGGTACTCGAGCCCGTGTACAGGTTGCGTAACAATTTTGGATTAAATGTCAGGAACAGAATCTTACCTTCTCAGAAGGTGAATTTCTGTAGATGTGTGTGGAGCAGAGGAGCAGCTGTCTGCAACGTGTCTGCAGCTATGTGTTTGAAACAGTGACAACACTGGCCGATTGTAGGTGTCCCACAGTCCTGGGGCTTGAAATGTAGTTCTGTGACGAAAGAGGACTCAACTGGTGCAGCTCAGTTGTGTGGGGGCAGCCCGGTTGTAATGTGAGGCAGCAGTGCCTTCCCTTCATGCTCCTGGGCTGCAGGGCTATGGATAGCAGAACGCAGAATTCGATCAGGGCTAGGGACCAGCCACAGGGATGGGGCATCGAGGGACAAAAGAAACTGTGCAAGGGCTCTGCTGCAGAGATAGGATAAAGTCACATGTTCGCTGTGATGCTGGCTCTATGTGGCAGCTCCTGTTTGTAAACAGGGCAGGTCCCTGTATAAAGCTGGTGTTATTATTCACACCCATAGAACAAACACCTCCACCCCCCTGTTGTTGTCTTAAAAAACTCCAGCTGCTCATGAATATAGGGTCAGAGAGGGCCGGCTAAATGTTTCTCTGTGCTTTCTCTCCAGCACAGCCAGCAGAGCTGTTTCCTGTTCTTTGTTTCAAGGCTGGGGTTTGCGTCATACATTCCAAGTGGCATATGTGTGCTCTTTCCTGTTTCGGGCTGTTTTCTGGTAGATCAGTAGCCCAGACCAGGCCTCAGTCCCTGCCCCTCAACTCCCGGATCCCCACCCAGGGAGTTATCATGTCTCTGCACACTTGAGATTGCTCAAGATGCTCCGGTTATGTCATCATGAGAAGTCAGTTAACCTTTTCACATGCACCCTTTGCTCCACTGTGTTTATAGGTGAATCAACACTTTTGCCTTTTTTATTTTTCATTGTCCGGATTGTGATTTTTAAGGGAATTCCTGTGCGGATTGGCAAAGAAATGTAAAGGAGGTTGTTCTAATTCTCCCGTTGAGGGAGGGGTTTGGCAGGGTGTTTGTGTTAAGATAGGCTTTTTGCCCTGAAGCTGTCAATTTTGGATCAGGATTAACACCTTACAGGTCAGAAGACCCAGCATTATCTGAAAGATGTGGCCCCGCCTTGTCCACTCTCAGCCCACCCGCCCACCCCGCCCTCAGGACAGGCTTGGGTGTGCAGTGTTGGCAGCCCGGGCTGAGCTGCAAGTCTTGTTTATGTTTTAAAGAAGAAATCTTGAGAGAAAAATTGAAGCGAGCAGAAGATATATTTAGAAAATCCCAGGATTGTTTCTTTGAAAGGAGAAAGATTTAAACAGCATAATAATTTGTTTAAAGACAGAGATATTACTGTATTCTAGATTTGATTTCCAAACCATCTTTAAGAATAGAAAGCTCAAAAGAAAACGAGAACTAGCCATAAGAAATCCATTTAATGGTAGTTTGGAAATTTTTAATCTTGTAATTTGGAAACAGAAGGGGGATGGCTTTTTTTCTCACAGTGACAAATTTTTTCATAATCCCTTTTAATATTCTCTCAGTTATGGGTTAATGAACTGGGTTAACTGTTTAAAATCTATCTTGACAAATTATTTTTCTCTTGGTTCTTCAGAAAGTAAGTTTTCAAGAAATGGTTGGAAAAGAAAACTTTCGGCAAGTGTCTTTTTAAAGCGTCTTCTAGTAAGATTTTCTTCAGAATCTATACAGGAATTATCTACAGTGTTCCCTAGTGGAATTAATTCAAAGAGTAGCTGAAGCTGCAAATCAGGGCCTATGCGCTCCCAAAATTGAGGATAAAAGCACATTAGTTGTAAAGATAATATCTCACCATATTCTTTTTTTATGTATAGAACAATATGATAGTATCAATGTGATACTAAGAAAGTTACTAGGATCAAATTATTGATAATCTTCCTTGGAAAAAAAGCTGGGAGCTTTGGAAAGATTTTTTCCTTTCTCCCTAGGAAAAATCAGCTTGAAATATTGAAGCTGACTTGGAGGCCAAGAGGCCTGCAAACAGAAATTCATAAGTAACGATAGTCCATCCAGGTTTGGTGGACAGTGTCTTTGACTTTCCGCGGTCATTCTTTTCTCTCCTTTCTTGGGGGAGGGAGTGGTTAAAAGAGATGATTAAGGTCTTTTACATTCTGTCAGAAAAAATCTGCAAGCTTTTAAATACTGAGTTAAAACAGTCAAAAAATTATGCTATCTGACAGTTTGTATCATCATTAAAATGGAAAGAACAGTTTCAGCTTTTGATGTGTAAATCATTAGCCCTAATTTAATTCCATTGTATCTCCATTCCCCATTTAGGTACTGGCCTTCTTTCTTAATATTTCCAAGAGACGTTCTTGCTACAAAATGACAGCTTTCTTAGGAAGCATTTCTTCCTCTGTTTTCATGCCCAGTTGCATTTAAGAAAAGTAAAAATAAATAAATATAAGCAAACCGCATCCTGACATTGCATGATTCTGGCAGTTGGGTTTCTTTCATTTGTCATTTGTTCTAGCTTTTGGTGGGGGGGGGGGGTCTTAAAGCAGTGGGTACCTGGTTTGCTAATATGTGCAGGACACAAATGATGCACATCTGGGAGTGAGGAGGAGGAGGAGGGTTCTCGTGGTGTTGAGCACTCTCCTTTGCAGCCTGATTGGCCCTGTCTCAGACCTGGGCTCTCATCTTAGAGCAGTCTGACTGGAGCTTGAGACAGGAAACCAGACAGCAGTCTGCCCTGATAAGGGAGAGCATTGTCTAAAGGAGGTAGCCCTGCTCGGCCCCCCTCCAGCCCCCTGAACTCCTTCCTTGAAATGTAGTAGTAATCAAAGAGACACAGTGCTGTAGACAAAGTTTCTGAACCAGGACTAGGCCTGTTCTTTTTGCCCTCATCTTCAGTGCAACCTTTTAAAAAGTCATCTGTATGAGTTGCGTGCTTTGGTCAGGGTGTTGGTAATAAAGTTTTTTTCTGTAGCAAAACAGGTTCCTGGAGATTTTTGAAACTCACTCCATTGTATCGGCAGGCTGAATATTATCGTTTCCCCAGCTCATTATTAAGGGGGGCCGGAGAAAACAGACGCAGCAAGTTGTGCATGTGGCCTTCCGGGCCATGCACTTCCAGGGGAGGGGATGGAGGACCCTGGAGAGCCCAGCTTGTCCAGGGACGCACTCAAGGTGGCTGCCAGCCTCTGGAAGACTTGGGGATGCCGCCAGGGCTGGCCCAGGGCTAGTCTCAACCCAGATCAGTGGAATCTGGCCAGATCTAGACATGAGAGATCAAGTGGATATTGAGGTCAGTGCGTTCTACCCTGGAGAGCGACCTATGAATCAGGTGTGGGTTTTTGCTCCTTTGCCCCTGTGCTATTCTTTCCACTGCTGCTGTCCTTAGAGGCTAATCACCGAAGTCCACTCCTTTCTCTGTTCTCGCACTTTATCCCCTGGTGCCTGCCAGAGCTTCGCACTCCAAGCTCTGTTGAGTAGTAAGATCAAGTTCCTCTTTCACTGAGTCTCCAAACAAACGAGTTTTTTCCCCTCCCAACGTTTTCCCGTTTACCCTGCATTTTCAAAGGTGATTTTTCAGGCTGTGACTTCATGGGCCCTAGGACCCATTTTCTGTGTGGAACACCTAGTAAGTAATCATCCCTTATCGCTTCGTTTTATCCCAGCATGTGAGAAGCGTAGTTTGACATCCATGCATGTGTTCACCTCACAGGTATTTATTGAGCACCTACTCATTACAGCTAATCTGAAATAATGTGCAATCATTATGCTGGGTTATGCCACAGGATGCAGTAGGTCTGCAGTGATCTGACCTGCAAAGGTGTTTGGAAATCTTAATTGCCCACTGGAGCCTCCCCCACGGCCCTGCTAAACATGGAACCGCTCGGTGCTGCGCACGCACGCGCTCCATGTTGGGCCGAGAGAGTGACCCCGGGATAAGGTAATGCATCTCAGTGTCGCTGCCACAGCTCAGGCTCAGAAGCAGAACAGAAAGGACCCTGGGTCTGCAGGCAGCACACTTCTGTACTTGGCTATAGCTCCCACCAGCTCTGCGAATTTGGGCGAGTCATTTCACCTCTGTGCCTCCATTTCCTCATTTCTAAAATGGGGATGAGGACCTGACCCTTCCACCTTTGTATAGTTATTATGAGGATTTCCGTATTTACTTGGGTAAAGCTGCCAATTTTGCTCCACAGTTTTATGGACCGGTTGCAGGTGCACTGGCTGTGAGGAATAATAGCCTAATGTGGGGCCTTCAGAATGTGTCTTTTGATCTTGTGTCCAAGCATGCACACCCGGAGCTGGGGTAGGCAGTGGGGGCTGGGTGGGAGGAGTTGAAATCCCTCTGCTTAAGTAGCCCGACTGGACTCTGTTCCATAGCCCCAAGGGACCAATCTGTCTGCCACCATCACTACCCTCCCCCCTTACTGTTTGGGGTGTGCCTGGGGAGGCAGTTGAGTGGAGTGCCCCAGCGAGCTGCCTTGAAGCCAGGCTACCGCAGTGGGCATCTTGACTGCAACTTCACAGCTGTGTGTTGTTGGGCAGGCTACTTGATCTCTCTGTTCTTGGGAAGGCAGTACCCACCTCACAGGCGTTAAATGACTCAGAGCAGGTACAGAACAGCACCTGGTGGGTCTCAGGTGGTGATTGGCAGGAAACTGTGATGTCACCTAGCCCTTTGCTTTCCTTGGTGAACAGAGCTGACCTTTTGAGAAAACCTATTGTTGGCCCCTGCGTGCACGCAAAGCACCCCCCACCCCGCACCCTCCCCTCCCCCACGTCCCCCTCCCTCTACCCCTTCTCTCTTTTTCTATTTTAGGTTTTTAAATGGAGGAGAGACCTTGGCACTAGACTTGTCTGGAAGACCTCACTGTGGGGGGACAGTAATTCTGTGAGGCTGCTTACAGATAAGGCCTGAAGGACCTGTATCAGGCAAGGTTAAGGTTGGGGCAAGAACTGTGTTTAAGGAAGTTTTGTTTGCTAGGTTTCCTTTAGGCTGAGGCCCCCGCTCGCCCCCAGGCCTGGTTGCAGGGCAACTGGCAGTGCCTTCACAGGACCAGGGGAGTGACTGCAGCTAAGCGCTCCCGGTTAGCTCCCTGGACCCGACGGAAGAAAAGCCCATGTCCTCTCTGGCGAGTGAGGAGCCAGGCACCCTCTCTGCCCTCAGTCCTGGTGGTGGGTCAGCATCCCAGTGGGAAAGGGCAGAGACCAGGCGTGGCAAGGTAAGAAGAGGCAGCTGCCGCGCCGAGTGGGGAGGGCCTTGAGCTGGTCTTTGAAGAATTAGGAGGATTTAGATAAGCCGGAAGGGGAGGGGGGCATTCCTCGCCGGTTGCCCAGCATCGGGGCCAAAAATGAACAAAGGCACGGGGCCATCAGCGTGAAGGGCACGCACTGGGGCTGGGGGCAGCTGGTGGTGAGGGGGGTGCCAAGCACCGGCACCTGAGCCCTCTGTGCAAGCCCTGGGCAGTGTGGGTGTGTAAGGTTTGTAAAAGAAGGACCAGATGAGACAAGGACGGTGGGAATGCAGGTGGCAAGGGGGTGGGGAGGCCAGGAGGCGCTGAGGGCCTGGCCCCCATGGCGGTGGCAGAAGCGGAAAGAAAAGAAGGTGAGGAGGGCGTCAGAGATGACCTCTGGGTTTCCATGGTGAATGACCAGAAAATACAGCCAATGGGGGGTGGGGACAGGGCAGGAGCTGGTGGGAGGAGGGCTGGGGTTGGGGCCTTGGGGAATCGCAGGGCCTCAAAATGCTTTTCTGTTTCTTTTTGTTTACTTTTGAAGGGAGCGGGCAGTATTAGCTCATGGGTTTAGATCCCAAAGGACAGTGGCTCTCGGATCAGCTCAAATGCAGGATCCTCAGAGCCCAGGGAATCAACCACCACGCCGGCAGTTCTTTCTGGTTATTTTTAAGGTTCCTGCCATCCCTGTCCAGGCCGGAATTTCCAGGAACTGGCTGCTGCCGGGAGCCAGGCGGTCCCTCCCAGCCTCCCACTCCCTACAGGGTGGGGCCCCATGGGTGGAGGCCCCGGGCGGGCAGGCGGAGCAGGGTGGGTCCCCAGCGATAGGGAGGGCACCGAGAGGCGGAGGAGAAGCCCGTGGCCTCACGCAGCCCTTCTGGAGTTGATTATATAACGCTCCACGGAGGAGCGCTGCCAGGCCAGGGCCAGGCCTGGTGCGCCCATGCACGCCGCCTTGCTAGGCGGCCTGTGTGCCTCGCCGCTGAGCCCAGCTGGCTTGCCCTTCATACTGCAACTGCAAGGTGTCCACACACCTCCAGGAGGAAAACAGGTGTGCAGCCCTCCTGGGCCTGCTGGGACTTTCTACCGAGAGGGTGGGATGGGGCTCAGCAGGTGGTGCTGTACTTGGGAGCAGGGCCCCATGGGGCAGCATGGGTGTGAGCGGCCCCACCCCCAGCCCTGCCTGGCCGAGTGGAGATTTCGCAGGGTTGTTACCTTTGCACCTGTCCTTATTTACATGCAAAATCAATTGCTTCACTCGGTACAGGGTGTGGGCAGAATCTTATCTGAAGCCATGTCCTGTTTGGACAAGTTGGACTCGCCTTGGCAGCTCTCCATGGGGTGGAGCAGATGGGTGGAGGGAGGAAAGTAAAACGGGGTGGCTTGTTGGCAGGGAGGGCGGAGTGTTTGCTCGCTGGCTCGGTCCACTTCATCCGAGATGGACTAATTCAGTGCTCTCCCCTTCACAAAACGACGGCCGATGCGCACGGCCCGTGCAAAGCCTCCGAACCTATGAGGGGCAAAGACTTGGGAGTAGCCCGCGGAGTTTTTCCCCTTTCTAACCGGCCACAGAGAAGGACTGAGGTAGGTGGGACCCCGCGGGTGGCATGGAGGCTGTGGCCAGGTAGGTGCCAGCGTTCAGCTTGTCTTAAAGGAGCCTGCGACTTAAAATGCCCACTCACATCCGTGGCCTGTCCCCTCGTATTCCTGGCCAAGGCCACTGCCAGGAAATCTTCCTCCAGGCCTGTGGCTTTTGGGGACAGCAGTGAGGACAGAAGAGTGTCTCTGGAAAGGAACCCGTGCCACGGGGCTGTTCCTGGCCTGCCCGGGGCCCCCCAGGGCCAGCTTCCCTTCCTCCCTCCCTCTCTCACAGTTTGTCCCCTGATTTCCTTTGCAGAGTTCGGGGCGGGGTGACATGCTTCCTCCCTGGGAGATTTGCTAGTGGACGCTGGTGTGCGCCCCTGCCCCCACCCCGTGTCCTCTCCTACACCTGGGGACCCCCACCCCCACCCCAGGATTGCTTCGGTGGCGCCTCTGGATGCAGCGAGGCTGAGGGAAGGGAATGCAAGGGACCCTTTGAGGATCTGAGGGGACAAATCAGGCTGTGGAAGAAGGGAGATGTGGAGAGGGTGCGAGGGACAGCGTCTCCCCCGCGCACGCGCGTGTGTGTGTGTGTGAGAGCGAGCGCGCGCGCGACCCGCGTCCGAGCCCCGTCGCTTCCACGGCCGGCGTGCTGACGTCAGCGCGCGGCCCGCGCCTCGGCGTGGCCGCCCGGGACCCTCCCTCGCGCGCGGCCGCCCGCCGGGCCCTGCCGCCCAGCCGCGCGGCCGCCCGGCTTCTGAAGCGCCGCGTCAATGATTCACCGAGCGTTTTAATGTGTAATCACGCAGTTTTGCATTCTGACAGAAATCGGACCCGGGTTTTGACAAATGACAAAGTCAGGCTCCTAAGTGGAGAGTGTGACGGGAAGTCTGCTGCTGCCCTCGTGGAAATTCAAATGCGGGGGGCCCTTCCCCGCTACATCGGGGAGCTGCGGGAGAGCGTTTGGTGCAGTTACGGTTTATTTTGGCAGTGGTGATAGTTCTGTGTTTGCTTTGAAGCACTTTGATAAGTTGGAGGATTTTTTTTTTTTAACGGTTTTACTTTTTTCCTCTTTTAAATGTAGGTTCTGTTATCCTGGGATTGCTTTGTTTAGCTGTACAATTCATTCCTTGTTAAACGAGTTAAATATGAGATGTAAATGTGTTCATGGTTGAAAAATATTGAAAAAAAAAAGAACCACCTTTGCAGTCCCTGCCCTCCATGGCGCCCTATACAAGGGTTAACAGAATCCCTGAGCCGGGTTAAAACCCATCCGATTTAAAGACCCCCCCACTCCCCAGTGTGGAGACCTAGTCTCGAATTCCTGTTTTCGGGCGCCACCTACTGGTTCTGCTTAAGATTGCTGTCAGGGCTGGGTAATGGATTTTCTGCAGCATCTGTGGGTAAGGTTTCTTTTAAAATGATGGGGGTGTTTCCAGAGACTGAACTATCCTGGCTAGCAAAGGCCACCAAGTTCAGGAGCCCTCCTTCTTCCAGGGCCTAAGTTACTGCTCGGTTGTATGGGAGGCACTTGGAAGACATTGCTGTCGCTTTTCTTCTGGTCCTAGACCAGAACTCAAACACACAGTTGAGTACGGACAACAAGCGTGGCCTGTTGAGAGATGTGGGCAGAGTACAAAAAGTGTTTGCAAGTAAGTAAGTAGAAGCCCGATTTACGTTCATGTGTTTAATTCTCTTCCTAAATTTAGCTCCTTTAGCTTAGCTTCCCTCCTACTGGTTTTTATTAAAGCTTTTAATTCTAGAATTACTAAACTTTACAAGTGAGCACCCAGGTGTGCATGAAGCTGTCCCACCCCCCACCGCCACTCCCAGGGAGCTCCTGGGCGGGCCCTTGTTCTTGTTTCATATCCGGTGACTGCCACTGAAAGGATCATCATTTAAAAGTTGGCTTGGGAGCTCCAAATTAGGAACCGAGTGCTGCCAGACTTGTTTGTGCAAAGACAGTGAGTTTGACTCTGTTCATCGTGGTGTTGGAATTTTGCACGGACTTTTTATTGTCCAATGACAATGCAGTTATTTAGGCGTTTTTTAAAAATGAGGTATTCCAACTGTGTTGTTCTTTCTTCGCTAGCTGAAATACTTTTTAAAGATTTATTTATTTGAAGGCAGAGCAACAGAGGGAGAGGGAGGATGAGGAGAGACAGAGAGCTTCCATCCGCTGGTTCATTACCCAAATGCCACAATAGCCTGGAGGCGGGATCTCCACCTGGGTCTCCCACCAAGCACTCGGGTCATCTTCCACTGCCTTCCCAGGTGCAGTAGCAGGAAGCTGGATTGGAAATGGGGTAGCTGGGGCTCCAACTGGCACTCCAGTGTGAGATGCACTAAAATGCCAGTCCCTGAACCTACTCCTCTAATGAGAATATCCTTTGTCATTATTTGAATGACTTTGTGGTACAGTTCTGAACAAATAAACAGCCTTGTAATCCTTGTTTAGCAAAGATTTTATTAGGACTGGTTTTTACCACACTTTGTTTCTCTCACGGTTACAAATCTTGCAAAGCACCCATTTCCTTACACTTAGGTAAATCATAAAAATTAAAGAACGTGATTTTCAGTTCTGAAAGTGATCAGAGATACCACAGGTTAATGGTAATTCGCTTCTAAATGGATTCAGGAGTTATTGCTACAGGCATTAGATAGAGTCATTGAGGGCTGCTGAGCCCAGAGGTGCAATTAGAATTTGAACCAAAAGGAACTCATTCTCTTAAGAGCCCATTCTCTTAATTGATTGTCCTGTGGTGCTAGTCAAGGGGCAAGGTGGCACAAGGTGTGGCGATGCCGGTGGCAGTGCTGGCAGTGCGCTGAGCAGGTGACAAAGTGCCACATGGGATTCCATGACTGTTACACTGGGCTTCGCCTCGGCCTCATTCGGGGTGAGAGGCTGACCTTTGAGGCCGGGTGTGCTAGCGAGGCACCTCTCAGGCAGTGCTCCAGAGGCTTGGTGCTGTGTGTGCAGTCTGCATGGCTAAACGTTGTGTACCTGCTTGCTGGTGGAAACAATGGAGAAGGCAAAGGGTGGTTTTGTTTGTTTTGCTTTGTTTTTAAGTCTTAATCCTTGATCATCCTTAAAGCCTTGAAGAGGAGGAGGAAGGCGTAGACAGGGCTGACCCTGTGAGAAGGGCTGTTTCCTTATACACCTGAGAAGGCAGTGCTTTCATTTAGAAGGCTTTGCCTCAAGGTACTGTCGAGTGAAATGGATGAATCCCTCAAAAGGAGTTCAGATTATAAGGCTTGAGGTGGAGGTGGGGAAGCAGGGGCTCCCGGCGGGGTGGCCAGCCGCGGGTCACGGTTACTAAACTGTCGGACCTCACTTTTTGTTTATGGTCCGCTGTGCAGCCCTGAACAGCAAGTCTTAGAACCGGGTGCGCCATTTACGGCTGCTAGCCTGGGAACTGGTAATGACAGAGCCCGAGGAACAAAAGGAGTTTCACCCCTCCTCATGAACTTGTTCATTTTGTCGCTGGCTGTTGGAGTCTGGTCCTGCTGGCCACTTGAGATGGTAGCAGCACCATCAGTTTGAGCAGCCTGGCATTCAGTTGCGTTTGGAGATTGTAACACACCCTGTGGTGTAGGCAGGTGTGGTTTCTGAGGCCGGGGCCCCGTGTTGGGACACTGGTGGAGTTCACGTGTCCATAGGGGAGCCAGCATGGGCTTCAACAGAGCGGTGAAACAAGAAGTGCAGGGACTCGTGTGCCACTGGCGTGCAGGCACAACAGACCACAGGAGGAGCGCCGCCGTGGAGGCCAGGGCGGGGGTTTTAATGCTGAGATACAGCCGGGAGAACTAGCTCAGTCTAGGACGTGCTCTCTTGGCTTCTGGAACCAGAGTGGTTGGTGAAGACCTGGCCCCTAACCAGAGCCCTGAGCACTTAAGGGCGAGTGAGGACCTGAAGACCTGTGTTGGGACCTGGCAGGGGTTCTGCGGGCGGTGCAGTGAGGTGGAGTGGGTTTGAATATTTTGGCCCCGGGAGGAAGCAGTTGATGTGGATTCCTGTTAGGAATGGACTGAGATAGCCCACAAAAGAAAATGGCGTGGTGGAAAGCAGGACAACAGAAGAGAAGGAACAAGACAGAATTGGGGTGGGTATGGCCTTTACATGAGGCTAAGTTCCTGTCAAGGAGAAGCTGGGATGAAAACCAGCAACTATTCTTCCTAAATAAAAAGTGTTGAGAAAACAATAAGATGGCATGCTGGGGGTGACTCAAGTTCTGAGCAGGTAGACCTCAAAAGAAGAAATGTAAACAGAAAATTCAATAATTCAATTTTGATAATAAAATCAGTTTAGGTTTAGAAATAGTTTGCCATTTGAAGATTAAAAGCTTGGCCAAGGTTTGTTTTTTTTTTTTTTTTTAATTTTTTAAGTGCTAAAGCCTGTTGCTGATACATATTTTTGGGAAACAGGTTCTATTTTATTAATGAAAATCATGGAGAGGCTGGCACTGTGGCATAGTGGACTAAAGCTGCTGCCTGTAGAGCCAGCATCCCAAATGGACGACGGTTCGAGTCCTGGCTGTTCCTCTTCTGATCCAGCTCTCTGCTATGGCCTGGGAAAGCAGCAGAGGATGGCCCAAGTCCTTGGACTCCTGTACCTGTGTGGGAGACCCAGAAGAAGCTCCTGGCTCCTGGCTTCAGATTAGCCCAGCTCTGGCCATTGGTGGCCATTTGGGGAGTGAACCAGTGGATGGGAGACCTTTCTGTCTCTGTCTCTGTCTGTAACTCTACCTCTCAGATAAATAAATAAAAATCTTTTTTTAAAAAAATCATGGAGCGTCTTTGAATGGTGCCTCAAATGCTTTGTGAAGTGTACAAGCGTCTCACCCAAGAATTCTCCGTCAGAAAAATTTATCCTAATTACTGGGAAAGGGCATGCAGGAAGATAGAAGGAAGCTCACTGCTGTTTGTCCTGGCAAAAACATAGAAGCGCTCTAAGTGCCCAGTGAAAAGGGAGAATTTGAGTAAACCGATCTGTTCACACCGTGGCGTGCTGCAGTCGGTGGGATAACGCTCACCGAAGAAGACGTTTTCACAGCAAACTATGTGGCAGTGTAGGTTCTAACTAGTACCTATAGCATGCTGTCATTTTCAAAACGGGCCAGGTGGGGCACAAAGATAGTCGTGATGGTTGGTCCTGGGTTTGCTTTGGGCTGGTCTTTTTCCCCCTGGTTTTCCAGTAATGCGCGGAAGGTCTGGAGCAAAGGTGTTTAACAGCCCTGCAATTGGACGTCACGATGGCGCTGCACAGCGGCCCCCAGCAAGCGCGCAGGCTCTGAAGGCGTACGCATGGTTCTAGAAATGGACGGGTTCGCCTGGTGCAGTTAGAAAGGCCACTAGGCTCCCGTCTCCTCTGGCTTTCATGGTCTAAAATGGCATCTCTCAGAGGGAAAGAGAGAGGTGGGGGTGAGAGAGAGAGAGGAAGGGGTGGAGAAGGGAGGTTTTATTTTCGCTGGTTTACACTGGAAGTGACCTCAGGCTGTAGGTAGACACTGTGTTTTGTTCCCTAGGCCAAACTCCAGAACACCCTAGAGAGTCCAGCTAGAAGAATGCTCATGTTTGACCCGGTGCCTGTCAAGCAAGAGGCCAGGGACCCTGTCTCCGTGGTAAGTTTTCCAGTTCTTCCAAGGGATGAGAGCATTAGTGTGTGTGTGTGTGTGTGTGTGTGTGAGATGTTTTTCCTCCAAATTACTCATGATTTGACAAGCATTTGCAAGGTGCACCTTTCTCAGTGTTCCTTGTAAGTAAGTGAGGTAAACACTCTCCCAGCCATTGGGCACCCTCTCCTATGGGGGACCCGTGGCTTCCTGAGGACTAGGGCCCCACATCCCCTAAGAGAGAGAGAGTCCTCAGAGACCTGGACCACAGGTAAGTCGGGTCGTGACCGGAGGAGGCTTACAAAAACTCCGGCCCTAGACAAGGGGAAAATGTATTAAGAATAACAATTTGCTTAAAAAAACATTGATGACAGCCACATGGAGCCAGGGAGCCTCAAATGTTCAAGAAGCCAGCCAGCGAGAGAAAGAACTTGGCCCAGAGAGGGGAGTCTCGTTTCGCTCAGGAGAGTCCGTGGCTGGGTGGAAATTGGGTGCGTTGTCCTTGCCAGCACCTTCGTGTTCAGCCAGCCCCTCTGCGAGCCGGGCTTGTATCTGAAGGTTGACAACGATACACTTGCAGGCTTAGGTCGTCATCCGCACACACTGGGGCTGCGGCCGTCCTTCGAGAACAGGGGGTCAGGCTGGGGCCCGTGGAGCTGACTTGCCAAGGATACTCCTTCGCCAGTGACGTGTTCACCAGTGTCGATAGTGAAGGATCAAGTCAGACTGGCTTTGAGGAAGTAGCATTGACATTCCAGCAGGAGAACTGGATAACTGAGTGTCTGCGTGTGATAATAAGAATTTTATTAATCAGAAAAGTAAATTTACTTCTGATGATAATTCAGTGCTGTCATTCCTCTCAACTATTGCATGATCACGGTGGAGGAAAATTAAGGTATAAAATTTCTCCATTAATTAGATCCTTGAATTATGAATGGGTTTTTAGTGCTGGAGAATGTGATTAATTTTATAAATGATGCAGAACCATCAATGATGCGTTTCACTATTTGGTGTACTTGGAGTGCTTTTAATCAAGCGTGAAAATAGGACTCAAGAGCCCAATTTAAGCGAAAATGAAGAGCCACATGGCTAAGTTGGTGTGATCATAATTAAGTGCACGGAAATGCACTTAACCGAAAAAAATGGGAACCAAAATGAACTGGCAGTAACTGTTAACTTGTGATGTTGTAGCTTGTGTGACTACATGAAGCTAAAATTTATAGAAGTATTTTTACAGTTAATCTTTTCTCTCCTTCATGCTCTAGTCTTCAGTCAATACCCATAGAATTTAGAATTAGATTTCACCAAAAGTTAGCATTGAAAAGAACAAATGGTTCCTTTCCTAAACAGCGAAACCTCGGTTAACTGAGACATTTGAGGAGTGGGGTGTTGGTTGTTTTTTTTTTTTTTTTTTTTTCACTTTAGAAAATTAAATTAGGAGCTTTTGTGTCCACTCTTAAATCTCAACATTTAATCTTTGCTTCCTCCATCAGTGAAATGTATTGAACTTAATTTGTTCCTCTTGCTTTTTAATTCAGTCTTTGACCTGAAGGTCAGAGTCTTAGCTATTCAAGTCTGTGGTACAAACATGAAGGCACTATGGGTATAGGGCATGTGCAAGTTTTTCCTTAAATACCAAGTATGAATAAAGATGCTTGAGGGTAACGCACCTTCCCGACACAGCAGAAGGTATCTGCTTATGTGGTATCTGGCTGTAGCGTGAGGAATGTGAGACAACGTCATTTCTCCTTCATTCTGTGTTCTGAGAACCCCTGGATTTTGAGGTTTGGGGTTACCCTGTGAAAGTGTGTGGGATGGGGGCTGTGCTGTGGCACCCTGCTGCTCCCCGTCCGCACGGCAGTGGCAACCGGAAGTTCCACCAGCTGCCTTTTCTTTCTTTTCTTTTTTTTTTTTTTTGTAAAATACAAAATGTGCATAAAATGCACATATAAAGAAATTGTTTTTTACCACTTCCAGAAAGGCTGAAAATTAAAGGGCTCAAGTCAGGAAGTGAGAAAGAAAACAAATTGTCAAAACAAAGACACCACACTTTTAAAGATAGTCTTCTAGTTCTGTAAGATGACTTGTTCCCTGTGCTCTAACAGAAACTTGGTAACTTCTGCAAGCTAGGCAGGAAGAGAACTTTGCCCTTGTGTTTGCGATGAAGGGGCACACTGTTGGTGTGTGTGTGTGTGCGCATGCGCCACACCTTCCGTGCTGGGAGTCCCACCTTGGGTGTGAAGGTTCCTTGGACTCGCCTTTGCCACGCATGCTGACTTTTTTCCATGTTAATGAAGAGTGAAATAGACTTCATCCATGTTTCACTCAGTCAGCTCCACCCATGATGGGCGAATTGCTAAAACTCTTCCTAATAAAAGAAACAATTGAAAGTCCTGCTTGGGCATAGAGCAGTAGTTCTGGAGTTATATCCCTTTCCCCATCACAGTGCAAGCCTTGTTTTCCCCGTTGGTGGTGCTGAGAGAGTGCATGGATTCCCCTCGGACCTTCATTAAGTATTTATTGAGCACCTATGCCAGGCCGGGGGCTCACGTTCCAGTGGGCACCAGCAGTCGCCAACAGATGCACACAACGTAGCCATGTGAACAGAGGGAGTGCATGACCCAACACAGGGAAGGAACTTGCCGTGGTAACAGATTGTTGGACAAAGTAAGCCCTTCCCCAGCCCTAGAGGGGACCGCTGCGGGAGGGGCAGCCTCCTGTTTGGGCTGCTCTGGACCAGGACACAGGGTCCAGGGCGTGCCCAGGGACCAGAGGTGCGGTGTTCACTTCATCCACATTGGCCTTTGATTTGAGCCGGCGCAGCCGCGCCTATTTGTAAGAAGATAAGAATGGCCTGGGACAAAGGGGAAGCAGCTGTTACCAGAGTGTACCACCCCTGGCACACCCTGATCGAACCCTGTATCGGTCCTTCCCCTATGGAGAACCAGATTGTTGCAAGCTAATTGCAGTAGCTTGAGTGCTCCACCCAAATAATTAAAGAAACCTGTCTTATAGAAGGTTCTGGTAAACAAGGAGCTGGCTGGTGAGCCAGTTTGAGGGACCACATTTCTTCACCCTTTTGTGAGGCAGTCAGACTGGAAATGGTGAATGATGAGCTCAGGGTTGGGTGCCGGTCCAGATGCAGGTGCCTACATTGACCTTGTACCTTAGATCCACATCGATAAAGGCGCTGGGGGCGCTCAACTGAGAGCAGACTCCCAGTGAAACTGTGCATAATATTTGTAAAACTCAGCTGCTGTGGGCCTTTTCTCTTTGATGGCTTGACAAAGCTGTGAATATTATTAAATTTGCAGATCTCCCAGGCTCTAGGTCCCTGCTTTCCTTACCCTCACCCCACAGGGAGAACAATCTAGCAGTGACAGCAGTAAAAGTATGTCCTCATTTTGCTTCCTGTGTAGCTGCCAATATCTATTGGCGTTCTAATCTAGGTCACAGGGAGGTCTGGGAAGACCAGGGCTGAAATTAAGGGAGAAGCTGCATATTGGTCACTGAACACATTCCTTTCCCCCAGTCCCCATTTTTTTTATGTAGTTGATTATCATTGAGCGCTGGTCCAGAACTTTTAAAGAATTATATAAAGTGCATTAAGCTTTAGTGTTGGGAGGAGTTTTCCTCCCCCTCTGTTTAATTACTTCCTCAAACTCTCATTATACATGACTTATGATTTTTTTTTTTTGCTAATGAACTTTATGCCTCTTTTAATAATGGCTGTACTAATTACATGCAGTATTAATGTTGGTGCCTGCTGTGGACCTCTTACCTAGTGTTGTACTTGGTATGCCTGGTTCTGAAGGAACGTAGAAAGAGTTTTTTCTTAATTTCCATCCTCGATACGTAACTCAAAGATTTTGCTAAAAGCAATAATTTAGGTGTTCTGTATTTCCTGACTGTGTCCTTCATGTCCTTGATTGAGGTTGGATTAGTGAAAATTCTCCTCCTGCCTTGGTTGCGTCCTGAGTGAGTCTCACTTCCAAATCATAAAAGTTAGAGCCAAGGACATAACAGTCCTCCTGAGCTGGCCTTCAGTGCCTGCCTAGGTGTGTGGGTAACCGACCCTCCCAGTTTGCAACTGAGACGTCTCCTGGGGCGGGGGCTTACAGTGCCAGCCGGGTAAACCAGGCTTGCTGACCACTGAACCGAATGCAAGGGGTCTTCGGATAGCTCATGGAAAGGAACATGCATGGGTTTTTTTGCATGTAATAAACTTAATTGCATTTTGCCATGAATTGTTTTCAAGTACCTTCATCCATCCAAGTCTAAATTACTTCTCAAGGCCCATGTGATTGAAAGTGCCTTGTTGCATGTATTTTTGTCCTAATTCATGTTTCAAGTAAATACACTTACTTGGCTGTTTACAAATGTTTATTTCTTCCTTTCCAATAGTCCTACCCATCTAATTACATGGAGTCGATGAAGCCCAACAAGTATGGGGTCATTTACTCTACACCATTGCCTGATAAGTTCTTTCAGCCCCCAGAAGGCCTGTCGCACGGGATCCAGATGGAGCCGGTGGACCTCACGGTGAACAAGCGGAGCTCGCCGCCTTCCGCTGGGAATTCGCCTTCGTCCCTGAAGTTCTCGTCCTCGCATCGCCGAGCCTCGCCCGGGTTGAGCATGCCTTCCTCTAGCCCGCCCATCAAGAAATACTCGCCGCCCTCGCCAGGCGTGCAGCCCTTCGGCGTGCCGCTGTCCATGCCGCCGGTGATGGCAGCTGCTCTCTCCCGGCACGGCATCCGGAGCCCAGGGATCCTGCCCGTCATCCAGCCAGTCGTGGTGCAGCCCGTCCCCTTCATGTACACGAGTCACCTCCAGCAGCCGCTCATGGTCTCCTTGTCAGAAGAGATGGAAAATTCGAACAGCAGCATGCAAGGTAACTTCCTCCGCTGAGCCGAGCAGCTGCACCGGCGTGGTAGACTGTGCGCCAGCGTACTGTGAGAAAGCACAGAGCACACTTTCTTCAAAGGAAATACTGGCCTGCCTCGGGCATTTCCTTTTGATTCTGTTGAAGTGTTGATAGTGGGAGAGCTCCCAAGGATCAGGCTGTCTGTCTAATACCGTGCAGTAATTACCTTCACTATATGATTGTCAGCTTTGGGATAGTCACGGTCTTGATTTCATAATTTTGTGTTATTGAATGCCAGCATGGTTCTAGGTACAGAAAGGCATTTAATAAATACTTTTTGATCGTGGTGGTAATTAAAAGCTGCCTTGTATACCAGCTGGTCTTAGCCAGAGGAGTATGGGGTGGAAGGTGGAATCCAAAAATCCCAAGAGAAAGTCCTTTTTGGAGAATTCTGAGTCTCTGCATTTGCTGCTTGCTGGCACGGTAATGATCAGAAGAAACGAGAATCCTTCCCACCCCCCGCCACCACCTAGTTGTGTCCCTTTTATATATAACTTTGCCAAAGGCAAATCGATACTCACACCTCAGTACTGTGAATAGGAACTGCGCAGTAAACTCTTAAGAGCTGAAATTGGTAAATTGTACATAGACTGACTCTTGCATTCTTATTTTTTAGTACCTGTAATTGAATCATATGAGAAGCCCATATTACAGAAAAAAATTAAAATAGAACCTGGGATCGAACCACAGAGGACAGATTATTATCCTGAAGAAATGTCACCCCCTTTAATGAACTCAGTGTCCCCCCCGCAAGCATTGTTGCAAGAGTAAGTATGCTGAGGCCTACCCGGGATGGCCATAGTGGCACACGTCTTGGGACCTGGCGTGGAGGGACCAGATTTCAAATGTGTGATGTACTGTGAATGACCACTGGGCAGTGGCTCAGTATCGCTGGTCAGCATGGGAGAAGTCCTCCAAAAACACTGTGTGCTCTGTTGCACGGACAACATGAGCACAAGTTATGCTGAGTTTCCATCAGTTATGTACCCATGATCCTGCACCCTACCACAGGAAGCATTTTTGTTTTTTTTTTTCACCCTTCTGGGCTATGGATACATAGTTTCCCCATACCTACAATTCTGGCCTAGCTTGAATTTGGTGATCTGGATAGGCAACTTAAACTTGGATTGTGAAAAGTTTTCATGTGGATACATCTAGCACTCCAAGTTAGCACTTCTAATCAATCAAGTATATGGTTTCTACCATGAGGAATGTCAAAATCTACAGGCCACGCACAAGCCCAAGAGAGACACTCCAAAACAAGTTCTATAAACAGTGGTGGCAGCAGGAAGTTGTCCCTGGAGCACAGAGAAGCTTAGCTTTGAAAGAACTCTTCATTTTCGGGTCTTTTCAATCACATGTGCTCACAGAATATTCCTTCTGTGGAATGGCCAGCCAGCAGGAGGCTTGCCCTGTATCGGTCAGCATCAAGCGCCTGAGTGGGGGTATGTGTTAGGTCCACCAGGCTGGTACCTTGGTCCCTCCCTGGGGTTAAGTCATGTCATTGGTAGGATTTGCCACTGTGGCGCTCTCTGCCGTCTCCCCGTGGTTATGGTGGAGGCCATTGTTATTGATCATGATTGGTGGTGGTGGTGTAACTTTGTCTGTGTTGTGGTGCTTCGGCATTGGACTCAGCGGCCAGCTTCCTGTCCCCGCACTTTCCCAACTTGACCAAACGTGCCACCCACCTTTCCGCCGATCTTGTCCACTCCTCTCCCCTGCCCAGTTACCTGCAGCAGAATGTGAATTGTCTGGCTGTAGAGCCTCTCTTTCTAGTACCTCCATGTACGTTCTCATCATAGCCACATTCAGCTCAGAGGGGCGCCTCCATCGTCACTTGTTTTCTGCTGTGCCAAATCATCGTTCTTTCTTGGTTGTCCCAGACTCCCTGATGGATGAAGAAGAGCATGGATCTTCTTTCCCAGCCACAGCCAGTGGGGAGAGGGTCTGTGCTGCAGTTGTATGTTAGGCTTCACCGTGGCACACAGCCCATTCCACTTTCCCAAGTGTTTTCAAAGGAATTCTCGCATGCGCCTGTAACAGGCATGTGGGAGCCGGATCAGATGAGAACTGAGAAGCCAAGCATTAGGTAGCTGGTCTGTAAGCACACTGTTAGCAACCAGGGGGGACCCAGGCCCAAGCACTTGCTTCTGGTACAGTGGTCTTCCTGCCTTCTCATCCATTTCCCACCCACGGCCTGTGCTTGCGTGCGAGGAAAAGTAGGGTGACTAAGCAGAAGAGACATCTTGTAGGCTGAGGGACCTCCTGATGACGGGGGTGGCTCTGGCAAGGTAGCTTGCAACATGACATGCACTTGTAATTGTTCCTGTCCGCGTGAGGGAAAAATGCCATGGAGCTGAAGCCAGGCGCCTGCCTGCGCAGGGAGGGCGCGTTGACGGAACAGGAATTGTTCCAAAGTCGAGGTTACTGCGCACGGCAGAGCAAAGCACGACAGAAGGCCATCTGAAGGCAGTGTTACGTGCTGTGAATGCTGCCGAAAGAGAAAACTTTTTTCCTTGCCTGTTCCATGTTCTTCTGATGATCTCAAGCTCAGTACCCTTTAATGATTAATGAGTAAAGCGCTCATTTGAATGCTGACCTCAGAATGCAGTGTGCGCCTCAGAAAAATTCAGCACATCAGCCACCACTGGGACGCGCGCTCTTTGAGTAGTTCCCTCGCAGATGTTATTAAGTCATGTCTTGGAGTGGGCCCAGTAGCAGCCCACACTGGAAACCTTGTAGCCAGGGAAGTCACTGGAAACAGGCGCCCCTGTGGTGAGGCAGCCCCAGTAATATTTGCCTTCGCAAACCCTCCTTTCTAGAGGCTGACTTTACGAGACAGCTGTAAAATCCTTTGGCTTGACCCTAGTTATGGCAAACAGCATGGCTGTTTGGGACGCTCAAAGGTGTATCGGATTCCTTTTGTCGTATTTTGGCGAATATGTGAAATCTGTGTTTGGAACGAAGAACTTGGGGATCCATTTTCCCTCTTGAGCTGAGACATGACCAAATGGAAAGACCATAGAGTGTGAGACCCCAGGACCCCCATCTGTAGCTTCAGCTTGACCCGGCGTCAGGCTCCCGGAGAGCAGGGCTGCTGACCACACTCTGAATGTGGCTGCTTTGTGAGGCGGATGCTACTTCGGGTAGAGCTATCCTGATCTGACAGTGGGACGTTCTCCAGAAAAGCTTCTCCTGACATCAGCAACTGGAGCGCAGCATTCCAAGTGGGTAAAAGTGTTTCTGAATATCCGAGTGTTCACAGCTACCAGTGTGGCGGCAAGGGCTTTGCGTGCATCTCCCACAGTAGCCTTCAGAGAGAACTTTTTTAATCAGCATCTCCATTTCACAGAGTACAGCCTGGGGCTCAAAGTACCTTGCCCTGCGTCACAGAGAGGATCCAGGTAGAGCAGGAAGTTAAAGGTGGATGCCGCAGCCTGGCCGTATGCCTTTATATATGAAGTTAGACAACCGAGAAAAGTAGTCTGCACAGAAACTGCTGGCTCTCACCCCGTAAAGCCCCGTTGTGGGGGTTTCTTAGACCAGGATCCCAGAGGCGCAGGAGAGGTCTGTCCGGGCATTTCCTAATTTCTTAGTTTCCTAATTTCTTAATGACAGTGGGACTTCTTCATTGGATGGCATCCAGTTAAAAAGTAAACTGGTAGCTTTTTTCTTTTGGTTGAAAAGTCTAAGTGCATCATGAAGCCTTAGAGTTTCTGTATCTGTCTGTAAACCTCTCGCTTCTCTGTTTTCTCTGCCTTTGCGTGGGTGTGAACTGAAGTCTTTATTTTCCCTTCACACTACTTCATGTTCCCTTTTCCATGTATCCAAACCTGGGTTTTATCACCTGCACCCTCCTCGGGACATCAGGGCAGGAAGATAAAACGGCACAGAAAACAGTTCTCTTTGCTAAAATGACAAGTGTGAGCAGTAAGGTCATGAAAACACAACTTCCATTCTTTTCCTGGTTGACTTCCTAGCGTGCCTGAAGAGGCCACTGACCAGGGAGGTGGACTCCCTGGTTCCTCTCAGGCATGCTTCCTGATGTCTGTGATCTCACAACCTTGAGTGTCTACCCTCCCCAGTGCATCACGGGTCGTTTTGTTCTTCCCGTACACACGTGAATAAAACTTCACGCCGCATTTGGAACATCTTAGGAGCTGTAGGACCAAATCTAAAAGAAATCCTTTCATTACAGTTGAAGGCCAACGACAGAGGATTGTGATGGGCCGAGTGACTAGTCACTCAGGAGCGTGGATGAGCAGATGAGAACTTTCCAGTTGCTTACGTTAATCAGTAGGAGAACCTGCGAGAACTTGCCAGACGTCACAGCTGTTCCCCATGCACCTCCTCCGCAGCACCTTCCTCTCTGCAGCAGCTGCTTTGTAGTAACCCACCTGGGAAGATCATGCAGCCTGAGGGATGTGAGAGAAGGCAGGGAGACTGGGAGACAGGCTTCTCGTGAGGGGGCTGGGCTGCCTCACCTGACTGCCCATCGGTACCACGCTGAAATTCCCCCTGATGGGGGATAAGGGTGACCTTCAAGTTTGCATCTGGGAAGACAGCAAGGCCAGCTTCCTTTTAGAGCAGAACCCCTGACAGAGAATCAGCTGTGTGTTGGCCATCTTTAGGAGACACAGGAAATGCCCATGAAGTACAGGTTAAAATATAGTTGCATCCTTGTCTTCTCCGTTTCCCCCCTAAAGACCGGCAGTGATGATCAGGGCCTCCTGGAGAAGCCGGGGTTCAGCACTGCCTGGTGCCACAGCATCCTGCAAGCAGGCCTGTGTGTGTGTGTGTGTGTGTGTGTGCAGGGAGTGAGCCTCAGCTGGCGCCTGGCACCTCCGGCCAGCATAGCTCCTGACTTCTCGCTGTCCTTGCTTCCCTCCCTGTCTCTCCGCCTAGCGTGTGAGCTCCTCCAGGGCAGGAACCCTGTTTTTATGCATCTTTGTGTCCCAGTGCCGGGCACAGTGCCTGGCTCATGCTAGGTGCTCACTAAATGTTTGTTGAATGAATACAGCACTGCTGCTCGGGATGATCAGCTCATTTCTTTTTGGTTTCTTATGTTGGGTTCTGCCCAGTGTTGTGGGCGCTGTTAGTAGACTGGAGAAAAGAAAGCACCTGCTCTCAACCTTTTGTATTTAATCTTGGCTTTCGCAGGAATCACCCTTCAGTCATAGTCCAGCCTGGGAAGAGACCTTTACCTGTGGAATCTCCAGACACCCAGAGGAAGCGGAGGATACACAGATGCGATTATGACGGGTGCAACAAAGTGTACACTAAAAGCTCTCACTTGAAGGCACACAGAAGAACGCACACAGGTGAGAGGAACCGCAGCTCCCTCTTCTCTCCTAAGAAGGGGTGGAAGGCAGTGCTTGGCTCTCAGAGGTTACTCTGATCGATGATGGTTTTCCTAGCGTCCTGAAAGCTATTACGGTCATCTGCAGATGTCTGCCCGTCATCAAGAAGGAAGTTTTGGGTTATGATTTACCTCTGTCTTAAATCGGAATAGATTCAGAGTGATCCCTGTGGCCAGGCCCCTGACACTGACTTGAGAGTCTGCACTCTCCAGCGAGGGGGTAGGGGAAGGAGTGGAGCCGCCTCTGCTGGACAGAGCGAGTGCTCTTGGTGTCCAGGATGCGGCCTCCATAATGTCGCTCCCCCTCTTTGTGGAGGAACGACACAGGACCCTGCACTGTTCTTTTGTCTGCTCGGCCCTTCCCGGGTTTGCTGCTGGTCCTTCCCGGGTTGGCTGCCGACCCCTCCACCTCTGTGGAGGGGCGGCTCCCCCTGCCACTTTCCCCGCTTCTGCGGAGGAGCGGCACAGAAGCGGCACACCGCCGGCCGGCTCTCTTGGGGGCTGCTCAGGTGTTCCTTCAGATGTTCCCTCAGATGTTCCTCAGTGCATGTTGTCTCTCTCCTCCTTTATAGTCCTCTTCCACCAATCCCAACTCTGCTACCCACACGCCGAGCACGCTGCTCTCCTCCAATCAGGAGCAGGATCAGCTCCTGCAGCTTGTCAAATGATGAGGCAGCTGCATAGAGGTTGTTTGGTCTCTTTCTCTCAGAGCCATATTGTGGGAGAGCAGATGCATAGAATAAGTCTTAATTCCAGTAACTTAGTCTAGTCTCAGTTGCTCCCCACACATAAGAGCTGTCATTCACGCACACACACACACACACACACACACACACACGAACGATCAGAGTCACCACAGCAGACAGTCTTTATACAGAGTAAATAAATGCAGGAGTTGAGTAGAAATGGGGTTCAAATAGAACACTTGGAGGGAGAGAGAGATGAAGAAATGGGATAATTTGGACTTTTAAACTTGAGAAAGCTCCGTGCCATTGCCTACCCTATTTTTTTTGTTTGTTTGTTTGTTTCTGAACTCAGAACCTCAGGAATCTCGTGACTTGGAGTTGCTAGTACGATTATTTACAGAGGGACTCCGGGGTTTGGGCGGGAAAAGGAAAGCCAGGTGTCTGGCGGTGTGAAAGTGAGCCCTGGCCAGGAGGCAGAGGGGAGGATCGCCCTGTGGACGGCCGGTGCCTGCCTCAGCGGAGCGCTGGCCTGGGCAGAGCAGAGGGTGGTAATGGGGGTGCAGGGCGACACCCTGACAGCGTGCCTGCTCCTCTCTCCCTGCATTCTCGGGGTATCAGTGGACCCAAGGAGGCGGGTGTAAGCAGCTTCGAACCTAAAACCCAGTACATGCTTGGGTGGCAAACAGGAAAGCGCCTCTCTGCATGTGTGCCGTGTGCAGTGAAGCAGATGATGCAATTCTGAATATCACATTGACGTGCCAAGGAATGGGAATCCTGCAAGGTTTCTAGAGCGTGGGGGAATTAAACAGGAATTAATCTGTGATACCCGTTATTACTAATGTAGGAACTGTGACTGCCCTGCGTAGCTTCGAATGTGTAAGCGCCTTCCTCCTGGCTCTCCCTGGCATTTTCCCCCAAGGGCCCTCTTTCTCAACTGTAAACAATCATCCCACAGGAGGCTTGCCCGTGGGCTTCAGAACCCTCACAGTTGCCCCTCTACTCGGCAGAGAGCCAGCTGAACGTCGGGAGCTGTCATCTGTCCCCCTTGTTTGTGTTGTGGCAGGGGGCAAATAGGTGAACTTCTGGGGCATTCCGCTGGCGAACCCTCACCTCCATTCTCCCCTTCTTCTGTTCCGCAGGAGAAAAGCCCTACAAATGCACGTGGGAAGGGTGCACGTGGAAGTTTGCTCGGTCTGATGAACTGACAAGACATTTCCGAAAACACACTGGCATCAAACCCTTCCAGTGTCCAGACTGTGACCGCAGCTTCTCCCGCTCCGACCACCTGGCCCTGCACCGGAAGCGCCACATGCTGGTCTGAAGGCCTCTGCCGCCCACCACAGCCCCGTGCCCGCTCTCCTGGCTCTCGTCTGTCCTCCCTCCCATTGTCTAACGCATTTTTTACATGTACATTTTCATCTGGATTCAGCTGGTCTGAATCTCTGAATTTATATCATTCAAAACTTCCGTATGGTCAGTAGCAGACACTCTAACCCTCCCTCTCCTTACCACGGGTCAGACCTAAAGAATGTGAACACTTTTTTTTTTTTTCCGGGGATGCTAAGCAAACCCTTCTTACAGACACGTTTAATGTCATGAGAACAAGGGAACATGTAAACTAACACGACCAGTTGTCAGTTTGTCCGTGTATGCCTCAAAAGAATGTCAAAGTAAATGTATTAGAAACACAGTACACAGCCTGCTAATCCTTGCCAGAGCCTTCGTACCTCTGTGCCCTGTGATCGCAGTGGATGCCCGGCAGCGCCAGCAGGGGCGGTCCCCTCACCGGTTAGCACAAGTGCAGCGAGATGTCAGAGCTAGTGCGGTCAGCTCTTCCGGTGTCCTTCGCAAAGCCTGCTGGTTGGCCTGGAGTTACCGCTGCTTCTCATCAAGGTCTTGGCCCGACTCTGTGCCTGCAGCTCAGACGGAGTTCTCTGCCATCGAGGGGAGACGAGCCAGAGCTGCCGATTTAGGTGGGTGACATGTAGAGTTCAAGGGATGATGCCGTGCTTCCGTAGCCTGGAGTAGCAGCAGAGTGGCCTTGAGGAGGGAAGGGGGGCGGGCACAAAGGAGGAAGGTGACAGTCCCTCCCATTATCGGGGTTGTCACTGAGGCTGCAGCCTTTGCTTAGCTGTGCGGTGCAGTCTCCCAGCCTCAGTCTCCGCACTCAGCTATGCAAAGCCACACAGCCAAGCCAGACACCAGTGGGGTCATCCATGCAGCGATCTCCACTCCTGCGTGACGCAGTGGTAGCAGGGAGTCTGCAAACACATGGGCTCCGTAGCAGTAAAAAGGCTCTAGGGGGAGAGCGTGGGTGGTCTTTCTCTTACACCCTGTTCGTGGCTTTGTTTGCAAACAGGGAAATGTTGAGTGGTACTTATATTCCCATATCAAGTTAATTGCCTACTTTTGATGCAGAAGCTCTTCTCTGTGAGCTGTAGGGTGCCAAATCGGCTGTCATTTGTGGTCATGACAGACATCATCTAGAAGCATCTGCTAACGCTCTAGTCAATCCATCAGGGAAGGCCCGAGTGTCCCTGTTTGCAAATACAACTCATTGTGAAGCACACAGATCTTTATTTTGAGAAATGTAGATTTATGAAAAATAGAGAAAACCACAGTTCAGGGATTTATATATATGTAGCTCAAAAAACTCCCAAAAATTTATTAGTGGAGCTAGCAATTTCCTATCATTACCAAGTATACTGTCAGAAGAATAAACTGAAAAAAAAATCATAATAATGACTCGTGTTTATGTTAAATATAAATAGCACCGTTATTGGGGGAATTTTTTCAAAAGCAGGCTTTTGAGCACCATGAGTCGTCTAAATGCCAATAAAAATTCATACACATAGATGCCATTGATCCTAAATTTGAAGAAAGTGGGCGACGGTGGTCGAGTGTGGGTGCGTGTAACCGAATGCCCCTTCGTCCCTCCATGGAGGATGGAGGAGGAGAAGAGAGAAGAATGGAGTCCTCAGCCCAGCCACAACTTAGGATCCAACACAACTTTGAGTGGGAGGAATGCGCTGTCGCATCGTCTTTAAAACATCCGTGGACGAGTGATTCTGGAGGCCTGTGACTTCTGTGGGGGGCTTGCTTTGATGGCCCTGTATTAATAAGCGTTAGTCCCTAAGAGGCCCTACTCACCCGCCCTGGAACCAGCCGAAAGGAAATGGAGTTGAGAGAAGGCAAAGAAATTTGTTATCTTGGCACTTGGGTTTGATTTTCTTTTCGTTTCTTTTTTTTTTTTTTCTCAGCACTGCAAAATTTGTTTAGAATATGGAAACGTTGTAATTGGACTGTTTCTTTTTTTTCTTTTTCTGCAACTATGACGTGAATTGAGGAATAAAAATGGCTCTTGGAAAAATAGGTATTGTCTGTATTGTAAATGCTTAGTCACGTTCCTGTCAAAATGTTCATCTCTTGAGATAGTTTTTCCACTGCACAGCGAGAATCCAGCTGGCATGCAAGGAACTCTTGTCCTGATAGGGGTGACCAGACTCTGGTTGAAAGGGAAAGGGGGCTAAGGAAGGGTACACTGACCTTTGAGTCAGCTTTGAGGCTGAGTCCAGGTCATAGAAACTTCATGGATTCTCAGGAGATTTGATGTGTTTGCTATGACATACATAAATTTTTTCAAAAGAGCAAGCAAGACCCTGCAGACTGTATCATTCACATTGTTCACTAACAAATATCATTTTAATTCTGAAAGGAAAGTAACCCAGAGAAGCTGTTCTCTGTTCCCATGCTGGTCAATATCTTTTAGTATGCGATTGGCCTTTACCAAATTTTTTCTTATATATATTTGTATTTTGCTATAATAGTTGAGAAATTTAGTTTCTTAGTCACTTTTAGCTGTTCTTATGGAAGACCTCAAATACAAGATGAGATGCCCTTGAACATGTGGTTTCAATGATATACCACACTACTATGGATGGTGATTTCAATTGCAGTGTTTTAAGTAAATGAAAATGATTTGGTGAACGTGGAGTTGGTCTCATGTACATTCTATTTGTTAGAGATTTTCTGCAGTTGTTACTCCAGTGTCATCTTGGAGAAGAAGTTAGAAAAATCCAGTAAGAATCCATCATAGTTTTGAAATGTGAATCTATATCATAAATGGGCATTAACATTCTAAATCACTTGGTTTGGAGAATGTGTTAGCAGCATGGCTACATTGAACTAAGGAGATGTTAAATACACAGAAGTTTCAAGAGCCTTGGAACAGAATGAAAGGGGACTATATATATGTGTGTATATCCTGTTAAACACCCATCTGCACTATCAGTATTGCACTAATGTGGAATTTGAAAGGCTGTATTACTGATACTGTATATCTGCACGTCATTCCTGATTTAGATTGTTTTAAAGACAATCTGAAAGATCTAAGGTTTTGAAAGAATTTGGTCTGAAAATATACAGTTGTCTTGAAGGAATTGCTATCATACATGAAGTTACTCAGTTTTTATTCTCTTCTTGGTCAAAGGTTAACAATTTATAGATGATTGCAAATTCACTTAAATAATACATTTACAAAGCCATTTTACATGCATTAAACGAGGGCTACAAAAATATCATTTTACGAATACTAGCACTTTTTTTCTCTGTTATGTACTTAGTGTTAGAGGGTCAAAGTAATCTTTCTGCTTAGCATCTCTTAAACCATACCTGCAAGTATAGCAGGATTATTACATTTACAGTACTTTAATACTTGTATAAACTATGCAGAAATTTTTAATAAAGTGTAATATATTTTATAAGCTAATAAGACTGAATGGGTAAAGGTTTTTAGCATGCATTAGTATACTTGCAAATACTGAAACATTTTGGTAATCTTTCTTACTAAAGATGTGAATGTTTAATGTACCTTCTCTGTTTCTACTCTGTAGTCCAATGGGAATTCAGTAATGACATTTTGTCATGTCAAACTGTGAACATAAATTTGTACTGTACAGTCCTCATATACTATATACAGTATGCAATATATGTATTATATACTTGTTAATAAAACCATCAGAATATTAAATGTGATCATGTGGTTACTATGGATCACTGGGAGCAGATCCTACAGGGCAATGTAAGAGACCCCGCCTTGGAATGTCAGGGTAAGTCACTCAATCATTGTTGATGGAGGGAGGGAAAAAGATCTAACTGGAATCTTAATTCAGCCCCGAAGCCAACAGGAAGTCTAACCTCAGACTATAAAGCTGCTGGCACCCCTGCATAACTAGACTCAATGAGTGCATTCTTGGAATATTTGTTGCTTATGATCTCTACTGTTAGGGTTCCCCTAACCCATGCAGACGTTTAGCTCCAAGGCCTAATATTCAATGGGTTAATGGTTGGTGCATTACAGTGGGAACTTGGTGCACTTGTGGTGTCTGAAGGCAAGCCTTTGGGAGGTGATTGGACGGTATTAAGCTGCTAGAGTGGGCCCCACAGTGGAATCCTTGTGGCTTTATAAAGAGACCACAGAGGGTAGAGGAAGTGTGCTCTCCAACTACCTCCTGGCCTGCCATGTGCTCCTCCCTCTGCATGAGTCTACCCTAGCCAGACACTAGGCTAAGTGGGGCTGTCCAGTCGGACTGCTTACCTCCGAAACTGGAAGCCAAGGTAACACCTCCTTCCTAAGAATCTCCTCTCAAGTATTTTAGTTAATGGGGTGAAAAGCTACCTGCTTCCAAATGTAATTTTCAGCCTTTGTAGCTATTTGTGTTCCCCAAGAGTGAATGTGTTGGAACTTTTAATTCCTCAAGGCAGCAGTGCTGGGAGGTGGAGCCTCATGGGAGGGTTTGGCTCAAGGAGGCAGATTCCTGATGCATGGATTATGCCCTTGTTTGCCTGGGCTAATTCTGGAACTGGATGAGTGACCTTGAGAGCAAGTTGTAAAGCAAGGCCACGTCCTGTGTTTCGCCCCTTCTGCACTGTCCTCTTCCTTCCCTTTTTTTTTTTTTTTTAAAGATTTATTCATTTGAAAGTCAGAGTTATGTAGAGAGACAAGGAGAGGCAGAGAGAGAGAAAGAAGTCTTTATCCGCTAGTTCATTCCCCAGTTGGACACACTGGCCAGAGCTGATCCGAAGCCAGGAGCCAAGAGCTTCCTCTGGGTCTCCCACGCGGGTGCAAGGATCCAAGGACTTGGGCCATCTTCCACTGCTTTCCCAGCCCAGAGCAGAGAGCTGGATTGGAAGTGGAGCTGCCGGGACTCGAACCAGCCCCCATATGGGATGCCAGCACTGCAGGCTGCAGCTTTACCCGCTACACCACAGCACCGGCCCCTCTCCTTCCTTTCTGACTTCGTCTGTGTTAGAAAGCAGCACAGAGTCCTCATCAGATGCAGCCCCCTGAACTTGGACTACTTTCCCTTATAAATAACCCAGTCTCAGATAACTGTTACACTAACAGAGAGAGGACTAAGACACTTGTCTTAAAAGTATGGTGTGAAGGACACTAAATTTGTGGCTAGTGTGAAACATCAGGAGTCATGATTTAGGGAATGGAGTGTCCAGACAGTCGCAGCATTAAACTCCATCTGGGTAGACATGATCATTTCTCCAGGCCCGAGTACTCGTGCCCATGGACGCTAGTCCGCGGCGCCCCAGCCGACAGCGATGACTACGGATTTAGAGCTCTTGTTTAAGGCAGAACGTACTGACTTCTCCCTTTCTCCTTCCGACATAGTTGAAACTCAGATACAGCTGGTTGGGTCTCAGCAGCTTCCAGCGCCCTGGACTTCGTCTTGGCAAAACACAAAATAAAGTCTGACCGGCCCTTGACACAGGCTTTGCCTAGAGAGCTTGGGGAGTGGGAGGAGGCTAGGAGAAGACCGAATCCAGGCCTTTGGAGTATTTCTTCATCAGCTGTCCGCAGGAAACCCCTCTGCATTTACCCCGAGGGAGTTGACTACAAGCTCTTTCAAAGACTGTGAGGCTCTGGTAGGCTTGCACTTGTCCAGCTGGCTGGTGTACTCCTCCCACCGTGTGTGTATTCTGCACGGATGATGTGACCCTCACCCACCTTTCTAGGGGAATATTATGCTACAAGCTGGATTCTGCCCGTGTGAATGATCAGGGTGCTGACCAATGCGGATTCTATGAGATACAGGAATCTTTAAGGCGGTGAGGAGATTGGGCACACAGCAGGAAGACATGGTTATCGCCCAACGTTTTAAATACTGTCAAGTTGAAAAAAGTAAGAATAGAAGTCTTGCTGGGGGCAAGTTATTAATCCAGATGTGAATGAAGGGAAAGAAAGGGCTCTTTTCAGGGAAGGATGGTGTGGAGAGATAAGCTCAGGTGCATTGAGACTGGCGTTGTGGCGTGGACACGCGCATAGCTTCGAGTGCTTCTGCTCACGACTCCCCTGATTTTGTGTTTCCCACAAGCACCCTGAATGCTTGGCGTTGACTTGGAAGACAGCAACTGGATCTTCAAGCTCCGAGGTCACGGTGCTTTGCCACTGCGTTCTTCCTTCTCGCAAGACTCAGGAGCTCTGTCAGCGCGGGACTGGGTGTCTATAAAATAGTCCAGGCGAGGAGGCGCTTGAAGACGTCCAAGCGCCTGTCCGTGACCGGCCTCCCGGACTGCTCGTGCCGGCCCTCAGTCCAGCACAGATCCCCTGAGTGGTCCTTCGGGGTCACCGTCAGTGCCCACTCTCCTCCACCTACTTGGCTCTCCTTCCGCTCCTGAGAGCGCAGGTGTGCGTCCACCAGAATGAGAGCCCCCCGGCTGGGCTGGGGCTTCTCCGCCTTTGTGTCCTCAACTCGACGCACAGAAAAGGTATCCTGGGATAGCGGCTTAACTGCTAGCTGCAGTTCCAGCCTCTCTCTCACCCTTGTGCATCCAGCTGGCCACCTCTGCAGGCCCTCCTGTGCCTGACCTCCATCCATTGCTGTCACCTGTCCCAGCTCAAGCCAGCCTCACATCTCATCACATGACCGCCCCTCTGTGGAAAATCCTTCCACAGTCCTCACTGACCCTGAACCTGGTTCGTCTTGATTCCACCTCTTTCCCTTTAAAGCCTCATCGGTCATCAGTCATTGAAATTTTGTGGGTTTTTTTGTTTTTGTTCTCATTCTCCCACCCCCACCCGAGAACCTTCAAACACTTGCCAGATTCAGCAACTTTGGTGGGTGACAAGGCATTCAGGGAGAAATTAATCAACCCCCTACTTAATTTCTCATTACCTCACTCAAAAGTCCCCTCTTCTGGGGCTGGTGCTGTGGCATAGCAGGTAAAGCCCCTGCCTGCAGTGCCAGCATCCCATTTGAGTGCCAGTTCGAGTCCCAGCTGCCCCTCTTCCCATCCAGCTCTCTGCTCTGGGCTGGGAAAGCAGCGGAAGATGGCCCAAGTCCTTGGGCCCCTACACCTGCGTGGGAGACCCAGAAGAAGCTCCTGGCTCCTGGCTTAGGATCAGCTCAACTCTGGCCATTGTGGCCATCTGGGGAGTGAACCAGAGAATGGAAGACCTCTCTCTCTCTCTCTCTCTCTCTCTCTCTCTCTCTCTGCCTCTGCCTCTCTGAAACTCTGCCTTCAAATAAATAAATAAATAAATCTTAAAAAAAAAAAAGAAGTTACCTCTTCTTTGTGCTTGTCTTGGGTGAATGCCACTCTCCCTCCCCACAAGAGGTGCGAGGTGCTGTCTCCCTAATTCCTCCCATGGCCCCGCAAGCCTTTCTCTCAATCCTTAATCATAATGGCCCTGCCTCCTTTCCTCTGCCTCCTTTCCTCACTACATCTCAGATCCTCCTCATATGCTATTCCAGGTGCCCAGTGTCCAATCCCCAGGGCCAGGCACAAAGTAGGGAGGGTTCAGAAGTGAGTTCAGAAGTGTAGCAAAGAAGGTGTGTTGAATGAGCAAATGGGCAATCGAAACTAATGTTAATTAATTGAGTATGTACTACATGTTTTGCCCTATTCTAAGCACTTTGCAGGCAATAATTAGTTTAGTTCTCAACACTGTAAGGCATGTGATGATTATCATTCTTTTATTTACAATTAGAAATTGAGGCACAGATAGTAATTTATCCAAGGTCACAAAGATAGAAAACAGAAGAACCAGGTTCACATTTAGGCTGTCTAACTCCAGAGCCTTCTCCCTGGACTACTTTTTTTTTTAATTTAAGTTTTACAGGTTGTGGGGAGCATCTCAGGACTAGACTAAGTTACTGGAATTAAGACTTATTCTATGCATCTGCTCTCCCACAATATGGCGCTGGGAGAGGAGGAAACAGCTTCTACACAGCTGCCTCCAGTTCAACCAATAAGCAGCAGGACCTGCTCCTGATTGGAGGAGAGCAGTGTACTCGGCATGTGGGTAGCAGAGTTGGGATTGGTGGAAAAGGACTATAAAGGAGGAGAGAGACAACATGCACCAGGAACATCTATCCGAATAACACCTGAGCAGCCCCCGAGAGAGCCGGCCGGCGGTGTGCCGCTCCCCCGCGGAAGTGGGGAAAGTGGTAGGGGGAACCGCCCTTCCACGGAGGTGGAAGGGACGGTAGCCAACCCGGGAAGAACCAGCAGCAAACCCGGGGAGGGCCAAGCAGACGAAAGAACAACGCAGGGTCTAGTGTCGCTCCTCCACGAAGAGGGGGAGCGACATAATGGTGCCGTGACTCGGATATGAAGCCTAGGCAGGGTTTTGTGTCGTTCCTCCACGAAGAGGGGGAGCGACAACAGGTTTCATGTATTTCATATATACAGATGTAGGAACATAGCAATACTTCCCGCTCCACCCCCCCCCCCCCAGGCTCCCTCTCTGAATTATTACATGTTCTCTCTGGTCTGGGTGGGCTCCAGGCCATTTTGATGCCTCATTTCAAAGTTTAACCCACATGTGATTGCCTGTGCACTTGACCCATTTCCAGGACGCCCTCCCCCTCCCCCCAGGTCCCCCCCTCCCCACATGCACACCCCTCAGCTAGAAACATACTACTCATGACTCAAACATACTACTCATGACTCAAACACACTACTCACGACTCAATACTTACGTACCCAGAAGGGAGAAAGTTCCCTGGATTCCAT